ATCCTCTTTAAATCCAACGGATGTTAAAATTTGGAACTGACTACTTATCTTCTGGACCCTATAGATAAAACCAGTGGATTCACCATGGTGATTTTTAACTGAAGACTGTATTATTTTTTAAATAACAATTTCCTTTAGTTAGTGGAAGTGTTTAGTGGGAAGCACTCCTTTGCTTCATACACACTCCCATATCAGGCACTATTGCATCAGACTGCCCCTCTGCTGCCATTTGTCCCATGGCAACAACATGTAATGGAATATTGGTGGGAAGGTTCAACTTCTATTGCCATCCCACCATCTGCCTCTGATGTCATGGGCCAACATAATAAAATAGGAAGCATTACTTTCAGACCAGCCCTCGTATGACTGAATTCATTTGTTTTGGGTTGAACAAATGAAATTCATCTAAAATGGATGAGGTTTTGCCTTGATCTTACCTGCGTAGATGCCACAGAAGGTGTCCAAGCATATATTTGTACCTTCTGTGAGTTTTGCATAGCAATGTGACTTTTTTCATTCCCTAGTCTCCAGTATATTTATCTGAAAAGGTAGACACGCTGAATTATCAGGTTTTGTGTTTGTTTGCAGGGAATAATTGTAAAAATTCAAGCTCCAATAACTTTGCAATGCTTTCCTTCTATTTTCAATGTTTTCAAACTATACTGCTTTAATTTACCTCATTGATTCCCAGTGGAATTAATGTGACATTTTTAGTCCTAAATTACTTTTTCTAATTCTGCAAGACTATTAGACATGGGAGCAAGCAACACAAGCTGCTTCTCATCTCTGATATTAGAATGTGGAGGAACAACTGCTGCAATACTACCTGGAAAGTTTTTGTCAGCCTGAGAATGACTCCAGTTCCAACCCTGAGTGAGGCAGTGCACTAACAGGGAAAGCAGTAAAAATGATCCACAACTTTCTGGAGCATGCCGTCCATCTGGTAATGTTGCTCAAAGAATCAAGATCAAGTACAAATTCAGTGGAGTCTTGGTTAAGTGGGCACAAGAAAAGACGAGTGGTGGTATAGAAAAAAAAAAAATAGCTCACTTCTGATTTTGGAACCTCAGATCTTACAGAATATTTCAAAATGGAAGACAGTTTCTATAGCAGTCATACCGAGGAGAAAAGACTGCACACCGTGCTGAAACGCTAACAGGTATTAAAAGCGGTGAAGTTTATCCACTACAGAACAGAAGGACAAAGACAAGGTCATCCACTGCGTGAAAGAACAAGGATTCAAAATCCCCAAACAAACAGGGACAGAAAATAATCTCCTTGGCAAAGTTTTGCAGTACTTGAGGACCAGAAGAAAGCCAGAAGCAATATTATTGACTAACCAAGTTGACATTTGGCTACAGAAGTATTTAATTCTTTCAATTCCTACCAGACAAAAGGACACTCTGTCCATCTCCAAGTGATGCTAGGGAGTGTGGATCATCTGCATCTTTTTCTTGAGAAGGGTGAGAAAGAAAAGACAGTCCTAGAAGTTTCTCAGTTGCATACTGCACTTTATCTTGATGGACTAGTTCAATTTGAGCAACACCTGATGTCATAGAAACGTAGACAGCTTAGGTTGGAAAGGATCTTAAAGATTATCTAGTTCCAGCTCCCTGTTGTGGGCTGGTTGACAATCACTGGATCAGGCTGTTCATGGCCCCATCCAACCTGCTGTTGAAGGCCTCCAGGGATGGGGCACCCCCCAACTTCTCTTGGCAACCTGTTCCAGTGCCTCACCATTCTCCTAACACCTAACCTGAATCTTCCCTCTTTTAGTTTAAAGCTCTTCTCCCTTGTCCTATCACTATCAGACTGTGTACAAGGTCAGTCCCCCTTCCCTTCAAGTACTGGAAGGCTGCAAAGATATCTCTCCAGTGCCTTCTATTCTCCAGGCTAAACAAACCCAGCTTCCTGCAGCCTTCCTTCATAGGAGAGATGCTCCAGCCCTCTGAGCCTCTTCATGGTTGTCCTCTGGATTTGATCCAACAGCTCCACATCCCTTCCATGCTAGGGGCCCTAGGTCTGGATACAGTACTCCAGATGGGGTCTCATGATGGCAGAACAGAGGCGGACAATCCCCTCCCTCAAGTTCTGCTAGTTGGCTTTTCTCACCTCCCTGCAGCCTTTACTCTGGGAAGGTGAGAGCAGAGAAGGCACCCATGACATATACTGAGTTCCAGCACCTATAGCCAGGCCAAGCCACCGCATCCACACAAGAGGCAATGATAAGATGGAAGACAAACTCCTTCCTAGAGCTGGCACAGCATAAGACATCAGAGACTGCAATGTTGGCTGAACACAGCCTGGAAGGAGTACATCCATCCCTCGTCAACTGTTTCTGTCAAATCAGTCTGATCTGGAAGAAAGTAATGCAAAACATCTCAGACTCATGGCAGAAGCTGGTGAGAGAACACCAGGCAAGCATGGACTACTCAGAGAGGCAGCTCAGTTCTCTCAGTACCTAACAATCATAGGATGCCCTTTTTGACATCATTGTGACCCAAAGACTCTGAACAATTACACCTGTTTTTTGATAACACTCCAGCTGGATGGCAATTCATTGCAGCTATCTGTATTCATTACAGCTATCTGTATATCCTTGGAGGTGTTCAAGGCCAGGTTGGATGGGGCCCTGGGCAGCCTGGTTTAGCATTAAACGTGGAGGTTGGTAGCCCTGCATATGGCAGGGGGGTTGGAGATTCATGATCCTTGAGGTCCCTTCCAACCCTGGCCATTCTGTGATTCTGGATTCTGTATTTTATTAGCAAAAATGCTGCAATCCTTTATGATGTTCAAACACAGACAACATAGCACCTCCCAGTGGATACTTCAATGTAAACAGTTCAAGTCATACTCTTCCCCTCTGGCTTTCTCATTTGCCAGCTACCTACAAACAGAATAGAGCTTATTTTTCCATTTTACTCAAGGTGTGTTTGTAAAGATTCCCATGCATAATCTTTGATCCATGGAGTGCTGCATATAATTTGAAGTTCAAAATTTGATCTGCATCAATTTTGCTAAAATTGCAACTCTCAAGATCAGATTTATGGTACAAGTCTTGAAAAAGAACTGTAAAAATGTAAGAAACAGTAATAACTTTTGAAATTTTGATCATAAAATTCCCTGCATCTACTCTTTGGACTCAGTTATTAAAGATCAGTAACTTAGCAGAGAGAATCCATTTCAGTTCTCCACTGTTTTTTTTTTTTTCATCAGCTTTCTGCTCCACCTAGCATCTCCCTATTTTTGAAATTAAGGAAAAAGAAAATTTTGGTCAACCTTCTTATGACTTCATGCCTCCTCATTCCTCCTCAGTTTCTTTAAAAGGTCCTCTTTGTGCTAAACAGCCTCTTTTTGGGCCACCCAAAAGAAGCTACCTTGCCTGTAAAATACACTCATTGCCCCAGACTGAATCCCTTCCAATTTCCCTTGGTTGCAGCTTTTCGCTGGCCAGTTTTCCCACAGAGTGTATAACACTTTGTTCATGGACACCACACCAACTGTCAGTACCTCTGCTTGCAGATGAGCCTCTACCTTACAAACTGCTTACCAGATGAGCAGCCAGGGCACTGCTGTGACCCTCAGGACCACTCTGTCTCAGAGAGGACAGGTAAGCAGCAGCCACATCCCTCCACTCTTTTGTGCCTACTGGAACACAGCCCCTGGGCTGTCAGGCTCAGGAAAACTTGCAGGAAAACTGAATTTACACCCCACATCCTTCTTCTCCTTTCCCCGCCCCCAGCTCCAAATATTATTCTGAAAGCTTCGTACCCTGATGATTCACCAACACCTGGGAGCAAGTTCCGCTTTTTATTTGTCTCCAACTAAAACCTTTTCTTCTCCTTAGCAACCGAATGACAAGCCTCCAAGATTTAAAAGAAATGAGCGTGTAAATGTATGCTTGTATCCTTGGGGTGCATGAAAGGCTAATTACAGAAATTAAATGCTAATTTTCCAAAATTAATATAGGCAAGTAAAAGGCTTTTTGCATTGTTTGAGTAAAAGGCTACTTCACAAGCTTTCTTTCCTTTGGCTCCTCACATGTAATTTCTATCCTTCCTCCCTGTGCTAGGTTGCACCAGGTCAGATTTTTAATTGGTGCTCATTAGTCAAGCTGTGTTTGCACCTCTGGTCAGTCCCTGGGCCCACAGGTGACTGTTGTCTGCATCCCTGCAGGCTGTGAAGAGGAAAGCAGGCTTTGGCACCAGTTTCTTTCCTGACACACCGTGGAGAAATTTCAAGGGGAACAAAATACATACAACAAAATGTTGTAGTCCAGATCCTTTGTACGCAAGGAAGATCCAAAGAAACAAAACACATGCAGTCCTGAAGTCTACATTACATTGTTGCATGCATCAGTAGGCACTGATTTCTGCAACTGTTTCAATTGATCATGCTAAGGTCACCTCAGTTCAACACAGCTTTTATACTGCCCCTTAAAGCTTCCCAATGCAAATGTCTCTCTATATTGGGTCTTCATTTATACATATATATACACATGTATATATATAATATATATTTTTATATATATAAATAATCATACGTATATCTGCATACATGCAAGTACATATGTTTTATTATGTCTGTTTCATCCAGCACCAGAGAAGCTCATTGTGTTTCGTACTCTAATTACAGATTAGACTGAGGACACGTGTAAGTGTACATAACTGACACTGTCAGTCTCAAAGTAAGAAAAAAAGTTGAAAATACATTATTTCAGTTGATTCTCCAAGCCAGCTCTCAGGAAACTCTTAGTTCTGCAAGCTACCATCTGACCATGCTGGTCAGGGCTCCTCATCAGGGGTGCTGGCTTTACTAAAACCACATCACAGCACAAGCTATGTATTTGATTAAAGCCCAGGTTATCTTTAGCAAGAATAGAAAGGCTCCAGATATGTCAGGAACGCATTCCATTTTGTACCGATGTGAAAACAAAAGGTAGGATGAATGTAAAATATGCTGTGCTGTTTCTAGAGCACTTTTTTTTTTTTTTTTTAATGCAACGATCAGAAAAGTAAGTTTATGCTCCTGGTCTTCATCCAGTAAAGGCTACACAATTACTCCCAAGAACTTAGTTGGTGAAAAGAATAACAGAACTGCCCCAATTCAAAAGCTGTAAGAGAAGGAGAGAAAACAAAGTCATCTGGTGTACCTGGGTGCACGTATTAATTAATGATAATGATAATAATTATACATTTAAGAAAGGCAGACAGGTTCTCAGCAGATCAAGGGGCTTATAAAAATTCTTGTGAAGAGCAGGAAAAGCTAAATAAAAAGGAGTGCAATTATTCCCCACCACACAACACTGCTGAATGCAGGAAGGGACAAAAATCACAGCAAGAAAATGTCACAGACAGAGACAGCAAGTGAGAAACACTCTGTAAAGACTTCCGTTATGGAACATCTGAACTCAGAGTTTACGCAGCAGGATTTATTCACAGGACTTGGGCTTTTCACACCTGTCCTCTCAGTGACAGTAAATGAGCAGGTGATTCTTGGAAACTAACTAGAAAGGATTAAGGTGGGCAAAAACTGGAACGGGTTTTCAGAAGGTGATGATGTTTATATTTCAACACTTTTAAGATCCAGACATGAAAACAGAGATTCCTCATCCCATTAATAAGCACAATACATCCTCCCTGAAATATTTCTGCAACAAAGGTCATGTTTGAGCAAGGCATCAGAATAAGAAAATATCATACAGTAAGAGGATTGCATGCTAAGACCTTTTTCCTTCAGCACAAATGCATCATACCCAGTAGACCCCAGCCAACAAGCAGCACAACAAGAATAGCTTTATTGAGTTGATATCCTACACGAGCCATTCTACATTAATTGTCCAGTAATTGCAGCTGGCTCACGGAGATGGACATCAAAACGCACACCCACTCTTGTACCTCAGGTGTTAGGAAAAGACAAGCAACTCTTAAGACATGAACCAGGGATACTGAATTGCTCTGAAAAAACCTGATGTCAATGAACACCTTCAGAATATTCATCTAAGCAAGTAAGATAGCCAAAAAGGCTTCTTTTGAAGTCAGAGACAAGACTCTTCCAATGCACGCAACACTGGATTGACAATGAATCTAAGTCAGATTGATGGTTGAACTAGATGATCGTGAAGGTCTTTTCCAACCTAATGATTCTCTGAGTCTGAATAAATGGCATTCTTCCTCGTTGATAAACCTGTACATAAGAGATCCACTGTTTTAAAGGAAAAGGCTGAATAACAGAACACGGCTTTTAAACCATGATTTAATTGAAGAATAGTCTACATCAATTCAAACCACCCCCAAATATTGCAGAGAAGTTCTAAATTCAGAATTAAGTTAGCTAATTCTGGTAACAAAAAGGCAGTGAAAATTTTTTCTGCTGTTGGACAATCCCAGTATACTTAGATTTTCACTGCAACTTTTGCATTGCACTGATAAGAAGAATAGTTAAAAAAAAAAAAAGCCATAGTTTATGGGGCCTGTGCAGGAAAGGTACAGGTCTGCTCAAGGATTCTGAGTAACTTCTCTGCTCCTTTTTAAAAACAAGAGTCACCACTAGTACACCACTAAGATTCCTTCACTTTCCAAGCTTTTTGTTCACAATTTCCTTGTGCTTTACGCTAGGCTTAAAAATCCATTAACTATTGCTACAATCATTAAAAAAAATTCAGCTGCATGCTGACTTGCTCTTCTTTCACATGAGATTACAGGAATCCAAATTCTTCTTAAATAACAGCATCCGCATGTTTATTCCGCCATCTAGCAGGAGATCGATGATATAATTGTGTAATAGATGTGCATAATTAAAAAAAAATCTCACTCTCAACAGATCTCTGTGGCAATGGTGGTGGTACTTTCAACCAGTTGAACAATACTTAGGAAAGTAAATTTCACATGAAAAAGCAGATGCTGGATCTCCTCTGTTTTGAAACAAAAGGCAAAATACGATACTGACGTTCAATTGCTCAGTTCTAAAAACATGAGTTCTTGGGCAGATTTTTGCCCAGTTACTGAATTGCTTTATGTAGTAACTTAGAACTTCCTTTTGGCAGTAATTATATGGCATAACATGCAGATGAGTTGTGGCACACACTCTACCATATGGGCTGGAAAAAAAGCAGATGTCTAGGGAACATCTTCAACTAAAAATATTGTGTCTTATCTGACTAGCAGAATTGTAAATATTTTAAATGATAGTCAGAATATTTAATTGCACTCCTTGGAATACTGAATTTTACATGCAAAACAATATGACAATTAGATACAACATGTTGAACATGTACTTTCCAGTTCTTTTCTGTGATTGTGTTATGATAAAAAATATGCTGAATGTATAGAAAAAGGGCATAGCTGCTGCATATAATCTTCTGGTAAGAAAAGAGGCAAAGGGAAACTCCATGTCATCCAAGATACCTTTGATTGTCTTCAAAAGGCAGATCACATACCTGATGATCCTAAAGGCCTCTTCTCAATGTTCACAACCATCTAAGCTAAAATTGCTTCCCTTTGGAAGCTGGCTGCAGAATATTTGAAATTCCAGCACCCATCTGTTAATTTAGCAGACAAGAAAGATTGTCATGGAGGATATTAGAATGAGTCACACCAGAAACTAATAATCACTTCCTACATCATGGTGCATTATAGAAACTGATTTCTGCCACTGGTGTGCCTGAGGTATATATTATAGATGTCAAAACTCTGGAGTTGCAAGTGATATTTATTAAAACAAGAGAATTAGGAATCGCAGTCGTTATTTGCTCAAGCAATGATTTGATTTGCACATGAGAACCAATACTTTTAGATGAAAACATAGTACCAAAGATATTTGTTGACTTCCAATACGCAAAAAACAATTGTAAATACTTCCATTGTTTCAACAAGCAGGATAGTTTAGATGGATATTAATATATAAAAATTCACCACAAACTGAACACAATACCCCAGCACCAATGCACGCAGATGACAGCCCCACTAACACTATGAGTTTATAGCAAGACAGTCCGTAGCACTGGGAATTGATTGTCCTAAAATCCTTACTCTACACAGTCAGCAGCTTGTAAAACTGTTCTCTTCATCCCAAACTGCTGTATCCTTGACCCATGAAATTATTATTTCATCTTAAAATTGAGAGCAAGTTGGCACGTCTGTTTGGAGACTCCCTCCTGCAGACATTGCTGGAGGGAGATATGATATTGTGAACGAATCTAGTTTTCATGAAATCACTTTGATTTTATTTTCTTCTTCGAGATTCCTAAGAGGAATTTTTTTTCTCCCCTTTTCCCATTAAACTTGATGGAAATGCTCTGTTCCTGTAGAAATTTGTTCTCACTGGAAAATTTATTGTTATTTAAAAGTTGGGCTGTACTAGAAGTGACTTGTCAGCTGCTGAATGTGAGACTGGACTTCTCTCTCACAAACAAGCTTTGCTGTGCATAATGCTAAATCCAGGAGATATTTTAAACCTATTTTTGTGTTGTGTGATGCAACAAGCGATGTCATTCAGTACAGCAACAAAAGAGAATTCAATCTTTGTTTTCCACTGCAGATCACTGAGTCATTACTACTCTATTAGGTTTGCGTGGTACTAAGACGATGCAGTTTAAAGCCAATATATATGAAGTCCATGACATTAAGTCAGTTGCCTGTATAATTCCTTACTGTACTGAAAAATCTCTAAAGGCAACTGAATGAAAGAGCAGCTCAGACTGGAGGGGAAAAAAAAAAAAAAAGAAAGAAAGAAAAGAAAGAAAAAAGGAAATAGACCAGATTTCTCAAAGCATTCAGTCGCTTGCTTAGCTTCTGAGTTTTCATTGGCTTTTCCATGTTTATGATGGAAGCAGGTGGTTCAATACACTGCAGGTTAGTTCCTCTGCTGTTAAAGAACTGTAGGACCGCAGATGAAGGGAAGGCACCTCTGGAGACTATCAAGTCCAACAGCCCTGCTCAGGCTGTTCTGATACTCACTGTAATTTCATTAAGTCCTTACCCTCATCTTAAACTAATGCAATTATGTTTAAAAACAAAAGAACAAGAAACAAACAAACAAACAAACAAAGACAGCACCAGAAACTCATTGGTTGTTATTTTTACATGAGATCCAGCCATGCAATCACTGATGACTTAAGTCATCATCTTTCCTAACTTCCCACGAGACTTCTCTTTCCCTTCACAAAATCTCTTATGTATTTGGTGTCCAGAGTACTACAGAAATGAGCTTCCTCTGCAGTGGAAATTGCCCTTCTCACTACGTGTCACTGGGAGGCAATGTGATATTGGAGTATTGCTGGTGGCTGGCTTTCCTTAACCATAGGAAACTGAGCCTTAGCATCTACAGATTTTAAGCCAGGAGAAAGAGCGATACTTCCGCTTGGATAAAAATCATGTTCAAATATTTTTTTTTCCCCTGAAACTCTCAGCTTCTCTTTGTGAATTAAAATGTGAGGCTCACACTGGCTTACTAATTTCAAAGTAACCACTGAAATAAAAAAAAAAGAAAAAAAAAAGTGCATTAACTTCCTTGGAAGCAGATTAGGCAGACCTTGAACACATTGCTAACACTTAAACTGCTTATCCTTTTAAGAAGCCAAAAATCCTCAGTAAGAAGTACCTTTATCCAAACTTGTTTTTCCACTAAGCAAGAAGTGACACATACCATTAGTTTTCATTTCAATTATTTAGCAAGCTAAAATCGTCCTTTCAAATCCATTTGTTCAGGAAGTTCCTGGAAGGAGAACTGCAGCATAATATACATGTTTGTGTCCCTAAAAAAGGAGTAATTTAAACTAACAGAACTGATGGATAGATCACATTATGCCTGCCCAAAACCAGACTGTACTACTGCATTGCTCCATGCAACCCACACAGCATTTACATGTTAGCTAGCAATAAAATGAAAAAATAATTGCAGGTCCTTCTATCACAAGCAATCTGACCTTTCGTAATCACAGACTTGTTTCCTATTCCCAGCATTCTGGGTCACAGTATTAGACCAAAAACATGCAAACAGATTTGAGACCCTGTGGGTTTTCATGTCATTTCAGAGCTGGCAGTCACATGCTCCCTGCCTCGTTAGCGGTGGGGACAGGGAGAAGAGTTGAGGAGTTTTGCTTTTCCCATTGTCACCCGTTTTTTTTCCCCACATTTCTCTCTATAGTAGAAAAGCATCAAGAACTTTAACCATTACATCTTAAAAAGGAAAAAACTTAGTACTTTTTTGTACTTTCAGACAGTAGATTAGTGCAGCATAGCTGCCAAATATGATTAATAACTCTGCAAAGGAATTTGTGCTGTTTGCACTATTTGCCAAAAATGGCAAAAATCAGAAGAGAAGGTGTGCTGCCATTACAGTTCTTTCAGATCCAAATGACTGATGGTTTTCTTTTTTCTGTTTTGCTTTCTTTTGGGTTTGAATTTGTTTGGGATTTTCTTTGTTACTAGAGAGAAAAAAAAATACACAAAGAAAATTCATCAAAGTCAACTCTCCTCCATTTACTTCCTCCCCAGACCCTTCTACCCCTTCTTCTCTAAAGTAAAACTTGGCATCCCTGAGATTAATTTCATGGCTCTAAATTAAATGTTTCCAAAAATAGCAAGAGGAGCTGCTAATCCTGCAAACTGGAGTTTCTTAGCTTGTTTTCCAGAACCCAGAAGCCCTGCTTGTGTGAATCCCTTGTTGCTCTGCACAGCAAGTCACAAGAGGATAAATGACTTTCTGCATCAGCAAAGCACAAACACACTTCTGGTCTGGTGCAAGTTCTTGGGTTCCAGCATATGCAAAAATCAAATGAGTAACACAGGGCTGAAGGGGCCACGGAAAACCTCAGCACAGGTGGCAAAGACTAGGCTACCAAACCCAAGTTCCGCTTGATGAATAGGCTGGCTTCTGCAAGGCTAATCCATTCTTCAATGGATGTGGTCTCACCGCCACAGGCAGTCCCTCAGCATCAGTACCAGCTTCACCAGAAACATCTCCAAGAAGCACACCTTCATTCCCCACCACATCTGACTACTTATCTCTTCCACTCCCAGTAAGCACAAGCCCAACACTGTCTGTCACCCCCAACATAAGTTCATAAGGTCTAGTGTGGGAAAAATGCATGATGTGAGATGTAGACTGTCCAGCAGCAAGGCAGCTACTACTGTGGCAAGACTGAAGGGTGGTATTTCCCTGGGAAAAGTGCAGCTTCCCAACATCCCTAGCCAGCTGCAGCAGCCACCATCCACCAAACAATTACTTCACTCAAAATAAAGGAAGTAAAAAAGAAGAAAAAAAAAAAAAAAAAAAAGAAATGCTCTTCCAGACTATAATTTGTAAATTGTCATGTTTCCACCTGAAAGCACACACACAGGAACTTCAGATTAGCCAGGATGTTACCTGATAAGCATCAGATTCTTTGGAATGGGGGCTTACATGTACCACTGCTTTTTCACTGCACTGGGAGGCCACAGAGATGATCTGTTCTGCCAATAGAACATCCCCATCTACTGCTGGAGAGTGGAAGGAAAGCAACAAATTCCCCACAAGGAAGCAATGGTACGGAAGAGAAATCTGTCACCCAGCAGAATTGCCAGGAGCCCATCTCAAAAGCGTGGAGGAAGAAGTGTGAGTTACCAAGAAAGAGCTTCTCAGTTCTGCTGTGGCTTTCATCATAGGTTTACTCTAGTATCTACTCAGGAAAACAGGCTTCTACATGTCATCATTAAAAAAATAATAATAATTAAAATGAAAATTTAGAGAAGAAGTCAAGAAAAAAAAGCTGCCTTCCTAATCTTGCAAAGAGTCTCAAATAATTGCTTATGTAAATATGAAGTCTCTAAGGGGGATTATAGCTGGTAGTGATGTTACATATTAAAATACATCTAGATCTTCTGCTCCTGCTGATGAAACAGATGATAAACCCAATAGCCAATAAATTTAGTGAGATTAGTTATTATCTTTTTTAACAATACTTGTCAAGTTTAAGGCATTTCTAAGTCGGAAAAAAAAAATCTATTTCTTATGTTCCAAGGAGTTTCCAAAATGTATCTGAACAGAGATGAAAGATTCTAACTTTTGCAGGATTCTGAAGTTTATCGAACTCACACTGCTATCTTTGGTCATCTCCTAACTGACAAGGAGAACACAAACAAATGATCAGATGGAATGCACAGTAAGGATTTAGCAAGGGGTAACTACAAAGCTAAAATTAAGATATTAACAAGCCTGCGTGTCAAGGAAGATGTGGAACGATTCCAGACTCAAACCTTCAACATAGTTCTCTAATTACAGATTACTCTTCCCAGAGGCATGATGAAAACAATCTTGATAAAGTTACCCATTCATCAGTTACTGTCATTTTCCCATAATGATAACCCTGCTTCTTACATAGAAAGCAAGAATTCAAGATCTATCACTAATACAGAAATGAACAGCTCCATAAACTCAGGGGACGTCTTCTGAGAAAACAAGCTATTCATCACTCTTCTATTGCCCTTTTTGTGCTTGTGAAGTACAAGTGGGCTAAAAATTGAGACGACTACTCCCATGCTGCCTAAGTTAAGCACCTAC